CCCTAAAAGAGACCGCTTAAAAACACACAAATACGACATGCAATGAGTTTTAATGATATAAAGACATAATCATCGAATGCTTTTATCTAAAAGTAGTTTTTAAAAGCATTGTCATAAATCTCAAGTTCTTCGCGGAACCCTAAACGAGAACTTGGCGGCTTAAAATATTGGCACTTTGCCCGGAACACCCTAAGAGAGACCAAAATCCAAAATTTACACCCCTAAGCAAGACGACGAGCATCCCCGTCTGTTTCATATGGGAGTCCCCCCCCCGGGCAAAAATGTTAGTCTTTCCGTGACAAATAATCCAAGTCGAGTCAAAGATCAGGATAATGGCCGCGTTAATTTACCACAAACGGGCCCGGAGAGACGTAACACACATTTTAGGTAAGGTAAGCTGTTTTTTATTGAAATCCTTTCATTTTCGTAGGTTACGGAAACCATAGGTTTTTTCCCATAGAAATCCCTATATTTCGAATGTGACGCAACCGATGCCGATGCTCATATTTCGAGCTTGGGCTACCTGTGATAGTACAGCTGAGAAAACACAGGCACGAGTAACAACTGATCAACAAACATGAAAATAAGTAATGCGGAAGCTATTACACACACAAGTTTCCCTTTAGAAACATTTTATGTTATACATAATAATAGAAACGGTTCTGTTCTGAATGTAATTGAAATTACATGTAAATGAGGTCACATCATCATGCTATAAAGTGCTAGATATTCTAAGAAAGATCAAGAATATGACACCACAAGAGGCTAAGAAGTCTCTTGTTCAAAGCCTCGTGCTATCCAAACTTAACTGTCACTTATCCACTTCCCGCATTTCTGCAAAAAAGAGTACAACGCGTTAAGGAGGCTGCTGCTGGTTTTGTCTTGAATCGTTTCTGCTCAGAAAGGGACGTCCTTGAGCTTTGCTGGCTACCTACACTAGAAAATACGCAATTAAACATTGTTAAGCTAGGACATCGAGCTCTTTTTAGTGAAGCTAAGCCCGGATACTTACAAATAAAACCTTAACTCAAATCGCCGTCCTAAAAAGCCTAGGATTCAGTGTTTTGAAATAGATTGTCGTAGCGTTCTGCTGACATGGCATTGAAGCGTCAGTAGCGTTTGCTTTCTAGGTTTCTAGGTTTGTCGTGGGCAGATATATTAGGGAGTTTAAGATCCAACGACGCGGACGACGAGCTAGAACGTCAAAAAAACAATAGGTTTAATTAGCAAAACAACAACTTCGCACGTGCAACACACTTTTTTGTTCATTTCTTTCCTGTGTGCACGACTACGACGTGAAAATGCCTAATTTCGCGTTTTACGGAGGACGTAAACAAGCAACGCCGAAATTTTATTTCTCTTTCTGAGCTTGAATATGGCCCCTTGAAATTCAGCTTCAGGAGGGTTCGCCTACAATTGACAAAGTAAGTGGGTAGGAATAATCGATATAAAGACTGAAAAAACTCAAATTCACTTTTTAAGCGACGTTCTTGTCGCCGTCGCGCCGTTGGATCTTAAAGTCCCTATTATAATTTACTGGACATGCTCCCGTAATGCACCGCGGGCTATGAAGAATGGAACCTTTATTGAAATAGCACAGGTAGCCCACGGCTCGAAGTATTAGGGACTGGTCAAAAAGTATAGGGGGGGGGTGGGCCGGAGCAGAGAGGGGGTGGGTCATGAGGTTTTGAGCCTTGTGCAAGGGGTGGGTCGTGCAATTTTCAGCTACCCTTAGGGGGTGGGTCACCCTATTTTTTACTAACTACTAACGAGACAGTTGACTACACTTGTTATATAAAACACCGCCAGCTGGAATTATTGCTAAAATACTCACAAACCTGTTGTGCGAGAAAATACAAAGGTTGACAAGCCGCACATCTATACGGGCGTGGAACCCTCTGTTAACCTTTTTTTTTTTCGGCTCTAACGAGCATGTCCTTTAACGATTTTCCTTTTTTGTAAGGAAATGATTGGTGGTTCTTTAAAAATTTATTGAAGTTATAGTTGGTTTTGTATAAAATTCCATTTTTTCATTCAAGCTTCCTTTATAGTAGACACTGAGGGTTGGTATTGTGTCACGAATGGCAATATTTCTTTTTCCTCCTTGTTGTTTTGTTTTAGGAAATTAGACTCCCTTTTGTGAATTCTATTTCTGATAGTAGGTTTTCTATCAAAGATAGAGGGCACCCAAAGAGAATATATTTCAAAACCACTTAAACGTAGCATTGTTAAACGTATTTTAGTATTTAAACAGTAGATATAGGCATATTTTTATCCCCTAAAAATTTTTCATCTGTTCGGATCTCCTTGCTGAAAGTCTTGTGATACGAAAATTGTAGGGATCAAAACTTACCTTTTCGAAAATTTCAGCCAGAAAAAAGGCTCCCGAAAATTCTAGGTGACCTTGGGGTAAAAATCCGTTAAAAATGGGCAATTATACCTTTTTTTTAGATGTTCAAAAATCCTAGAAGGGGCACACAAGCAAGAAATTTTACAACAAATGTTCCGAAAATTCTAGATCTCAAATCGTCTTTCGAACAGATATTTTCCGAAAATTGACGTTGGGTGCCCCTGAAAGATTGTGGGTAGCCTCCGTCCGTCAAGCGTTTTTTTTAAATTTGAATTATTTTCCTCAAAGGTTGTTTCTGAGGTGTTTTTTGGTAGGATTCTTAAGGCTTCTCCTTTCACAAATTCTTTTTTAACATTTGGAGGGTGACACGAGGTGAAATGTGTGTGCAAGAAGCTTTCCGTCTGTTTAAAATGTGTCTTTGCATCAAGGATAGATATTCCCTTGAATCTTGTGCCTTTGTATACAACCGTGTCTAAAAACACAGTCTCAGTGTCAAATGTTTCGGTCGTGAATTCAATAGTTAGGTGATGTAAGCTTGCTTGTTCAATAAAGGCTTCAATGTCTGGTTTACTCATGTCCCATAGGGAAAAGATATCGTGTATGTGGCATTTCCAAACTGTTGTTCTAAAGACAGTTTTGCTTAGATTTGTTGTTTCAATATATGTCATGAAAATATTGGCAAAGGAATCAAAACTGCTGTCTTTGTGCCCACTGCAGTTCCATGGTTTTGTAGGTAGTGCTTTCCACTGAAGTGGAAGATAAAGTAAGATAAGCTGAAATCCTTTCATTTTCGTAGGTTACAAAAACGATAGGTTTTTTTCCCATACAAATCCTTATATTTTGAATGTTATGCAATAATGCCCATGCTCGCCCCCGTGCTCATATTTCGAGCTTGGGCTACCTGTGGAAATAGGTGTATATATAAAATACCTTGTCCAGACCGTTTGACCACCTCCAGAACCCGGTGCATGCAGTTGATTTCCAATTTTACGAACCTCGTAGGGAGAAGTAAATATATATTGGTTAGAATTATCGAGTGATTAAAAAAAAGTGGGAGCAAAATTATCGTTTGATTGGGGAAAAATTAACTGTATGCAAATTTAGTTTGATGAATCTTCCGATATAAATCGATGAAATCGGTAAAAATCAAGATAAATCGATGAACGAAACGAGTGTGTCATCGATTTCTACAGATTGATTGATACAATCGATGTTTGACCGATTTTTATCAATTGACTAATATACTCCGGGATCACGTTATCTGCAAAATTAAATTTATTGAAACCTATACCTTGAATGCATAAAACAAAGGTTTTCCGGACTATAACATTATCAGGTCTTTCTGGAAACGAGCGAAGCTAGCTCCCGTCAGAAATTTACACAAGGAAAGTTTTGCTTTCTTTTTGCTTCTAGATGGAGAGAGGTCTGTCTCACCTTGCTTTAAGCTTCAAATGGCATGCTTTGACAATATGGGCAAAAGGGTGTAACGGCCCCTTCAGGGTAAAAAAAAACAAGGAAGAGATGGCGTTTATAGACCCGCCTCGTTTAATAAGGTCCTAGGAAGCACCAAAGGATTCTTCTTTGATCTTTTGCTTTATTTTGGAAAGGACTGAAAAGTTGAGAAAAAGTAATCCGCTTCTACCCACAGGCGGCTCAGACTCTAGCCTGCATGCAGACGTCCTCTGTAGTTCGTTCGTCACGCATTCGGGAGAAATAAATGCGTGACGAACGAACCCCAAAGGACGTCTGCGGGGAGGCTACTCAGACTCTATACGGGAGTTCGTTGGGATTTGAATTTTATAGGAGAATGTATAAAAATAAACAAAATACGATCTAAATTACATTTTTTTTAAAATTCGCAATAAAAAAGACTTAGTGTTTGTGCTGTGTGTTTCAATATCTGTTCGCTTCTAGAGCGCTTCTAAATGAGTCATTTTTATTGCGAATTTGTTCTAAAAAATGTAATTTATATCGTATTTTGTTTATTTTCAACATTCTCGAATAAAATTCAAATTCCAAAGAACTCCCAAATAAAGTCTGGGTTACCTGTGTTCTCGCCTGTGTTCTACCTAGCCCACCCTTTAATTAACAATTATTCCTCGAGTACGAATGGGCTCTGAGTCAATATCCCATGCCAAGAGGCCAAAGAC